CCTTGATTAATGAAGTATTAACATCCATGTAAGTCAACATCAAAAGATTCACATCATACCCCTGAAACTATGTCTGATTTAGGATTTCTGCAGAGACAAAGAAGAAAGGAGACACTCAAGTACTTTCTCTCAGCTGTCTTCAGGGGGTGGGTGACTCAGCCAGTAATTGTCATTGAACTCTTATAAAACTATTATATGATGGTTGGGACAGGCCCCAAATGGCTATAGTTAGGCTTCCTCAAGGAGGCTTCCAGCAGGGCTATGTTATATTTTTAGTTTGTAATCAAGGCCATGAATCAGCTATGTCATGGACAGTGTGTAGCCAAGGTCAGAAAACACTCTGATTCAGCATATGTACTCAAGGTCGCAAACATTTTCTTGGTAGCATGCACCCACTTCTGTAACCTGTTGGCCTTGTGCCTTCTTTGTTTGGCCTGTGTATAAAAAGGCCTATGGAACAGGCTCAGGGGCTGCGTGGAGCTGACTGGAGCCAAACAGAACTGACTGGGGCAAAATGGAACAGGCTGGGAGCTAAAGCTAAAGCTGGCTGAGGGCTAAAGACTGGAGACTGGGCTGGGGATGTGGCTCAAGCGGTAGTGCGCTCACCTGCCATGCTTGTGGCCCAGGTTCGATCCTCAGCACCACATACAAACAAAGATATTGTGTCTGCCAAAAACTAAAAAACATAAATATTAAAATTTCTTAAAAAAAAAAAAAAAAGACTGGAGGCTGTTGCCACCTCCGAATGATGCCGAAAGCTGGATCCTTGTCCCTAATGCCAATCCAATAACAATGACACGGGAAAAAAGATTTATTGCTTTTCTAGCAAAGGAGAAACACAGGGGACTTCTCTTCCAAAGGCTGTGATTCTGCTTCTGCCCATTAGCAGGAAGGGGGTGGGGCGCGTTAAAGAGATGATTCAGAGAAAATGTAATTAGGAAGAAGGGATCTGGAAGGAGAAGACCAGAGAGGAGATCAGGGATAAGGACAGAGAAAAGAAGATCAGGGAGGAGAAAGTCAGGAAGAAGAAGTTTGGGAAAAAGAAAAAACTATGTAAGTTTCAATGCCACAAGGGACATAGTCAAAACATCAAGTGAACCCCTGTTACATGAATAAAGCACATCTACTATCCCAACTGTCTTTTGTATCTTCTTCCACCTGCTGGGACCCAAAATCTGTTTTCTGAGTCTGAGCCCCACACAATAATAATATATAAAAATGAAGTTCAAATGACACATGTCTAGCAAAATGCCCAATTTATAAGCACTGGGCCTGGAATCGAAACTTAGACAATCCGGCTCCCCAGCCCATTTTTTAAATTTAATCACACTACCTGAAATTCTTTTCATTGTTAAGAGGTAGAAATTTCTGGACATAAAGAGACAGGGGCCAAAGAGTTTTGTATTAGTCTTGATCATAGGCGATGCTGAAAAACCAGCCTCTACCTCAGAGCAAAGCCTGTCCAAGGAAGGGACATCACCTTTGTCCTTGGAAAGACCCACAGAGCACTCCTAGGCACATTCCCACCCTGCTAAGTTGTTTATCTACAAATAACAGGAGAGATCTGCGAATCACCCTTACCCAACTTGTTCCCGCCAGTGAATGTGCTAATCATGTTTTAGAGTTATTTGATTTTCCCGCGGTGTGTGATGATTTGCTAAGAGATGCTATGATGTATGTGGGGGTCCCTGCTTTTGCCAAAGAATGTATAAAACTGCTGCAAACCCTGGGCTCAGGGCCTCTCAGCATCACCAGTTGCTGTGTGTGCACGGAGGACCGAGCTAGCTCGCAATAAACACCTCTTTGCTGTTTACATGGATCTTGGTCTCTGGTGGTCTTTAGAGGGTCCTGAATTCAAGCATAACAATGCTAAGCAGATTTTCTTTCTCTGATCCTTGAGCTGGTGTGGTTTCCTGAATGGTAGAGGTGGACCCAAGTGGTTTGTCCACAGCTTCCCACTACAACCATTTCTTACATGTCCTTCCTGGGCTATGTAGGAATGGCACTTTAGATCCTCTCTAATTCAAGGTGGTTGTGTTTTGTACCAGGGATTGAACCTAGTGGTACTTACGCACTGAGCCACTTACTCAGACTGTTTTCATATTTTATTTAGAGACAGGATCTCACTGAGTTGCTTTAGGACCTCACTAAGTGTCTAATGCCTGGATTAAATAACACCTTCCATCTGACACCACCCTACTCCCTACAGTCCCTACACTGACTGATTCCATCCTTTTGGATCACAAAAGGATCAATCCATTTGATGGACTATTAATTTGAGTGGATTATGGGTAGAAACTAGGCAGGTGGGGCATGGCTGGAGGAAGTGGGTGATAAGTTTCCTCCTCCAAGTTGTTCTGCTTAGGTATTTTGGTCATAGTAATGAAAAACTAGCACAGTCAATAACTGCTTATTGAGCAGGAACAGAGTGAGACCGGGTAAAGGACAGGTGGTCAGCATAGCTAGTAAATGATGGGTGGCAGAGATGAGGGCTAATTGGCTAATTATCAAAGAAAAGGAAATAGGTTGCTAACATAGCCTGCCAACACCAGGAGTTGCTAATGATCACCCCCTGGGCTGCTTTTTCCTTCCTTCAGGCTTCTAGGCAGGTTTGGGGAAGAGGACACCTGGGATCTATAACAAGGCAAGACACACCCACTCACCCCTCCCCCAGCCCTAGGGTCCCCTTCTCTCCCAAGAAGTCTATCTCTGTCTCTCTCTTAAATAAAACTTGTTTTCTACACTTGCCTCAGTGTTTCTTGGGTGTTTAACCTTCAATACCACAGGAACAATGACTCGATCCCGATTTCCAAGGTATCAGGAGTACAATGAATAGAGGACATGCCAGAATTAGACAGGCAGATAGGCAAGGGAATGGAAGAATTAAAATGTTAATTCCTTCTGAGCCCTTTCTCCACCCTTATCCAGATCACCTGCCCAACCTGTTGAAGCAGCTCCAACCTGTTGCTAAGGTAATCTGTTTCAGGGATTTTCCATCCCTACAGGGGGTTGTTAATTATGCCCCCTTCCACCCCAGATCACTCCAACTTGGTCCCTCTAGCCCATCTGCTTCTCACCTTTTGGCCATCCCAACGAGCATCTCCTGGGCCTAGTCACTAGGCATGACGGAGAGAAATAAGGGGAAGATAACAGAATAAAGGAAGCCTAAGACCTATAAAAAAAGGCAGAACACCTTTGCTTTTGGGGATACCAGAATACCCGCTATGGCCCCCTTCTCCTGTTAGAGTAAAAGAAATTGAAATTAAAGTGTAAAAGACCGGGCATTGTAAAGTTTCTAAGCTGCAAAGCCCGAGTTAAAAAGTGAAGGACCAGGTATTGTTAAGTTCCTCTGCTACACCCAAAACCTGAAATTCTTGTAGCTGTTAGGACAATACCCAGAACTGCCCAGTAAATATTCCCCCTCACCCTCTGGTTGTTTAATAACCTAGGATCCTGTGTAACCTGGCACGTAGGCTTTCAGGGCCCAAACCAATCAGTTTGAATGTGTACCCCCCTTAGGAGTGACCAATCACCCCCGCCCAACCTGTTCCCGCCAATGAATGTACTAATCATGTACTAATCATGTACTAATCATGTTGTTCAATTTTCCCGTGCCTCATGCTGATTTGTTCTGATGTATGCAAAGCACCCCCCCCCCCGCCCTCCCAAAAAAGTGTACTTAAGCACTGCTTAGCCTCTGCTCTGGGCTCTGAGCTGCTCTCCCTTCTTGAGTGAGCACGGAGCCCCAGCGCGCTGGATTGGATCCTCAATAAATCCCCTTCTGCTGATTGCATGAGTCAGTCTCTTGGTGATCTCTTCCTCCGACATTAGCGGGACCCTTACACTCCTTTCTGGAAGATATTACTCTAGTGTGCTTCTCTAATGTTATACTTCAAAGTGTAAGGGAGTAGAACTCATCACTTATCTCTTTTACTGGAAATTTATAGTCTCTCCATTGTAAATTAACAAGTAGACATGGTCACCGTCAATATAAGTCTGTCTGCTTAACTCTGAGCTACAGACAAAAGCAAATTTCAAGAGCCACAAATTTGGCCATGAAACTCCAGAACGCTATGATCACTTCAGATGAGGACTTACACTGCTTGGTGACAGATTTTAAATCTATCTTTGACTGTGGGTATGTGAGGGTCCAATATGTAGAAACTTGTAGATCATTGAAAGGACTTTGGCTTTTACTCTGTACTGGGAAACTATGGAAGGATTTCCATCAGAAGAATGTCTTTAAGGGGAAAAAATGCAGTCAAAATATCCTTCTCTTGTTGGTCTCTCCGCAGACAGATTTTGTGAAAATGTGGCTAGGGCTGGGGATGTGGCTCAAGCGGTAGCGCGCTCGCCTGGCATGCTTGCGACCCGGGTTCGATCCTCAGCACCACATACCAACAAAGATGTTGTGTCCGCCGAGAACTAAAAAATAAAAAAAAAAAAAAAAAAGAAAATGTGGCTAGTTGTTGGAACATTTCTAAACCCCCTAGTTAGTTGTTTCTTTCAAATCATAAATAAATTCATCAAGATTTTATACTCAGGCTGGTGCACGCCTGTAATCCCAGTGACTTGGGAGGCTGATTCAGGAGGATTGTGAGTTCAAAGCCAACCTCAGCAACTTAAAAAGACCTTAAGAAATTTAGTGAGACCCTGTCTCAAAATAAAAAGGGCTGGAGATGTGGCTGAGTGGTTAAGAATCCCTGGGTCTAATCCCTGGTACCAACAACAATAACAAAAGGACAGATTTTATATTCAGGATCATGTTTCAGATTTGGGGTTTATATAGTATGGGGGCACAACTGTGGCTGGATCTGCTCCATATAGGCAAAAGGAGGAGACATGATCTTACAGGTAATGTTACTCCTCTATTATTAGAACTAGCAAGGATCTGGTCTTAAATTACCAGTTGGACCACTTAGATTTGGGGGATGATGATTTCTTTAGGTATTATTCAACTCTGCCTTTTTCTACTTGATTCCCCCTGTCCTGCACTCCAGGCTGTGGAGTATGAGTGTGATATCACTACTAACACCTTCCTGTGGAAGGTGAGACCTGAAAATATTATGTGACTATCATTGATGCATTTATTTATTTATTTATTTATTTATTTTTTAAAGAGAGAGTGAGAGAGGAGAGAGAGAGAATTTTTAATATTTATTTTTTAGTTCTCAGCGGACACAACATGTTTGTTGGTATGTGGTGCTGAGGATCGAACCCGGGCCGCACGCATGCCAGGCGAGCGCACTACCGCTTGAGCCACATCCCCAGCCCTGATGCATTGATTTAATCAAAGACATGATTACAACATGTCAGGATGACYGTGTTGTCCTGATTGTTCCTATTTAAATTTAAATTTGGCACTAAATTTAAAGCTGGTATCTCCAAAAATCATCAGACTGTGAGTATGCCTTCTAGCTCATACACTGGATGTGAAACAAATCAATGTAGGTGTTCACGAAATGGATTCCACTGAGCTGCCCTATAGCCAGAAGAGATACAAAGAAATCATTGAGGGGGGTGGTTGTGGTTCAGTGGTAAAGCGCTTGCCTAGCATGTGTGAGGTTCTAGAGTTCGATCCTCAGCACCACATAAAAATAAATAAATAAAATAAAGGTATTGTTCCATCTTTAAAAAATTTTTGAAAAAATAAAGAAAAAGAAAAAAGAAATCATTGAGGAAGTCAGCAACTACATTTTAAAAATGGGCTACAACCCAGCACAGTAGCATTTTACCCATTTCTGGCTGGAGTGGTGATAACATGCTGAACCAAGTGCTGACATGCCTTGGGACAAGGGATGGCAAATTTCCCATAAAGACCGCAATGCCTTGGGGTTGGGATTGTAGCTCAGTGGTAGCAGCATGCTCACCTAGCGCAGGCGGGACCCAGGTTTGATCCTCAGCACCACATAAAAATAAAGGCATTGTTTTGTGTCCATCTACACCTAAAAAAAAAATTAAAAAATAATTTTTAAAATTTTAAAAAGATGGCA